GGGCGGTCCTTCAAGAACAGCCAGCCCACGGGCTCCGGCGCAACGCTATGGATTCGACGTACCACAATCGCTCTCTCGCGACATGTCACCGGCTCCGTCACGCTCGCCTGGCCGAGCCGCTATGGGAGGAGAAGGCGAAAGAGCGTCTAGCCAGTCTCGAGGCGGCGCAACTTCACCCGATAAACCTCTACCACCGGCTCCAACCGAAGAAGAGAGACCACAGCCCGAAGAGCCACTGCTTCCACGACCGCCGCCCTTCATTCCTTTGAGACCCCACGTCGCATCACCAAACCCGAACGAGTTTCTGTTGACAGTCGGCACTACACCTTCCGACCAAGGAGTCGGCATGTTCGTAAACCTCGATGGAGATATGTGCAGAGGTAGCATACAGTTCAGTAGCTATCCTGATGCGATTGCTGTAGACGGCGCGGGCATAGATTTCTCGGCCTCTATGGGTCAAGGCATGAACTCTGAGGAAGGTTACGTCTTGGCAGTTGTACATCGAGAGGCGGAAGGTAGTATTACCTACGGAGTTGAGATTCAGCGATGGGATGTTGATCCTAGTGCTGGAGAAGTTGACAAGCACTGGCTCAACTTCAGCCCACTCGGTCTGCCAGTTCAGACCAAAGGCTCACATATCTCGACGCCTATAGGTATGCGCACTGTAGTGCAGCCTTACGATCTAGTAATTTCGGAAGTAGGCGCGAAACTAACCGTCAGGAAGTTGCAGCTTGCTTCATCAGAGGGAGCAGCGACAGAGTCCAATGAAGTCGAGAAGCGCCAAGCAAATGCGGACCGTGAGTTTGCGGAGCGCCTGTCCAAGTTACAGTCACAGACTGTCGTCTGGGCCGGAGACCAGATATGGTGGACAGTACGAAACCCTTTGGTGACCCGATTGGATTCTCGAATCGAAGCGGCCCAGTATGCGCTCATTGGAGATGCGACACGCATCCAGCCTGACAGAAGAGTCATAGAAACCATCCTAGGCGATATCCGTGGACAAGAGCCGCGCAACGAGTCTGAATACCTTAGTCTCATATACATTCGTCAAAAAGCCTCGCTTATGCTCTTTATGGACGTGGTTCTACGTACCAAAACGAACATCATCATATTCGAAAATGAGAAGCGTATCACCGAACAAGCGCTCATTGAAGGTGAAATAGATCCGCGAGTTGTCTTGAGCCTGATGCCGATTCTCAATCAAGAAGTGGTACAAGGCTCGGACGGCATACAGATCTATGGCGGCATCACAACGCTGGTAGAGCACTTCTTGCAACAGAACGATCTCTCCACCATGCCAACGAATGTCAATGGTCCCTTTGGTGACAATTTGTTGCATTTCGTAAAGCGATATCTCCAATTTTGGAAAAAGCGGAAAGGAATGGCAAGCGTAACAAACGATCCAACCGTGTTCAAGACTGTCGATGCAGCATTGCTTCACATCCTCCTACTTCTAGACCAAGGAAGTCCAAAGGGCACTTCCAGCCCCGGTGCCCATCGAGCAGAGCTTTACGAACTGGTCGATAAGGAAGTAGAGTGCTTCGATCGCGCTGTGGAATTATTAGAACAATTCAAGCGTCTATTCCTGCTCAGTCGTTTGTACCAAGGCAACTGCAAGGCTTCTGTCAAGGCGTCACATGTGCTGGCAACCTGGAAACGGATTCTGGAGGGCGAAGAAGACAAGGGAGGCGAACTTGTAGATGGCGAGCATAAGGTGCGCGACTATCTACGAAAGATTCGCGATCAAGCTCTGGTAGAAGAATATGGCGCATGGCTTGCGAATAGGAATCCAAAGCTGGGTGTTCAAGTCTTTGCGGACGATCAGAGTAGAGTCAAGTTTGATCCTACTCGAGCTGTCGCTCTACTAAGAGACAAGGCGCCAGGCGCTGTCAAAGAGTACCTGGAGTATCTTGTCTTCGGCCAGAAAAAGGTAAGCCCCTCCGCACATTTTTACTCGCTCTACTAACACCAGCCCCAGCACCCCGAGTACGTAAACGAACTCATAGCATTCTACCTCTCCACCGTAATCACCGAGCTCGAAAGCACTTCCTCATCCCGCGCCACCCTCTCCCAAAGCTACGAAACCTACCGCATCCTCGAACCCCCGAAACCAACCTACTTCTCCTTCATAACCGACAACGCCCTCGACGCAGAATGGTGGCACGCCCGCATCCGCCTGTTGCAACTCCTCAGCGAAACCTCGTCCTACGACGTTCACACCGTTCTGTCCCGCCTGCAGCCCTACAGCCAAGAGCTAGTCTCCGAAATGATCATTCTAAACGGCCGGCAAGAGCGGCACGAAGAAGCGCTGAAACTGCTTACGCACGGTTTGGGCGATTACAACACAGCAATAAGCTACTGCCTCTACGGCTACGCCTCTATCCACCGCCGCGCCACCCCCGGCGCACCACCCGTGTCGCACAGCCAGATCCCCACGCGCACAGAACAATCACGCATGTTTGGCCACCTGCTCAGAGAATTTCTCCAGATAGAAGATCTTTCGCAGAGGGTGGAGCGCACCTCTGAACTCTTAGAGCGGTTTGGGGGCTGGCTTGATGTCGCTGATGTGTTGGCGATTGTGCCTGATGAGTGGAGTGTTGATGTTTTTAGCGGGTTTTTGATACAGGCGTTGAGGAAGTTGGTCAGGGATAAGGCGGAGAGTGATGTTGTGAGAGCTTTGAGCGACGCTCAAAACAGTCAGACAAGTAACGAATTAGTGGAGAAGAGGGAGGAGGGAGGGCCGCAGTTTGAGAGGGTGGAAGGAGATCTGGGGAGGAATGATGGGGTTGTGTAGGGTATAGCGTTTAGGTTACAGTCGACTAGATTTAGCTGTGCGAAGCTGGCACGGGTGTTTAAGGAACTACAACCGTATTACAATATATGGCGATTTTGTGTAGTTTGAAGAACTGAGATGATGTTTTGACGCATATTCCTGAAAGCCCACTCAACACCGGCTCGCGCCTGCCTCGCGACGGTCTTGGCATTCTCACACCCGGAGGCACGAGCAACGCCGGAGCATACCTAGGTAGCCACCAACGTCTCTCACTTCTCTTGCTTACTCAACTCAACTTCATTTCGATTTCATCACCCAGACAGCACTCATAATCGCTTGCTTACATCATGCAGCGCCGTATGGTGAGTGCCATCAATTTTTGCATCGTGTTCTCCGATTTGGCGCTAAAGGTGGCAGCTCACGAAAGATGAAGAGGCCTCAGCGCAAAGTGAGGACCTAGAGGTGCGCCGCGAGGATCAAGAGAAGATCAACAAATTCAGTTCTCTGCATCAGAAAGAAGAGCTTCTGGAAGAGGAGCTGAGGGCAAAGATTGTATGATTCAAACCGCCGCATTCGGTCTGCACTCGGTCTAACAACAGCGCAGAAGGAGAAGGAAGACCTGGAGGAGATCTCAGGCGAACTCGAGCTAGTTGATGAAGAGGAGAAAGTACCGTAAGTTCTCTGCGACCAGCTGCAAATCGGCTTCTCATCTTAATATGACCAGAGTATCAATAAGCTGATCACAACCCACAGATACAAAGTCGGGGATTGCTTCGTCTCATTACCCCAACCGCAGGTCCTTGAGCTTCTGAGTTCATCAACAGAGACCATTGACAGCGAGGTAGAAGCTCTCAAGGCCAAGCTAGAAGGTATCCAAGAAGAGATGGGAGAGCTGAAGAAGGCACTCTACGGCCGCTTTGGTCGCAGCATCAACCTCGAGACATAGGCGATGCACACGCTGTAGACTTGCAGCGATAGTTCGCCGACGGAGATACATGCAACAAGAATCGAGAATCAACACACGTCCCAGTCTGAAATCGCATTCCGAGATGGATCGCATTCCGAATCGGCGTTCCATAATTCCTAACGCATACCGTCGGACTTTACTAATCCGCAGACCGAAGACATGGTAGTCTGAGTCAAACGCGCATTCCCTGCCTTGCAAAACGAAAGAAGATAACGTACGTGACTCATTACAGGTCAATTATCAAACAATGCACCGAGTTCCACTTGGAGAGCCGCGCATCGGTAAGTTTGCCGATGCACAATAACGTCTTGTTCCCCGTCGGGCCTCGTAGGGCGCACGCAGCTAAACGGTTACCGTCATGCACTCGTAAGTTAAGCCCCGCCTGCACTGCATGCGGTAACGGCTACGATCGACAAACCAGGTAGACGTGCAGCCACGAAAATTATTGATCAGGGGAATTGTGGCGCCTACTTAAACACCTCGGATGGCTAATCGCAAGTGCGCGGGGTCGCGCAGTATACTACCTAAGGTTCTAGTCTGTTACTGCCCGTTTTCCTTCTCTAACTGCATTCGCAAAGTCATCCGTTCTGTCTTTTTTGGTCCTGAATTGCTCAAGACCAACTTGCGTCATCCCTCCGGGTAATCAATTCAGCATGGAGAGTGCAGATCTGGAACGAACTTATTCCCGGGAACAACAAGGCTTAGGGCCGGGTCATGAGGCCATTACCTCACCAGTCGCTCTTGTCCGCAGTTTTACTTCGAAGAGTCAGAGAAGTACGACGAGTCGACAGAGTTCAAGAAATCGCTGTACGCATAACTTCGTCTTACTGCGATGTTGGGGGTGTGGGTTACTAACGGGTCAACATAGCCGGTGCTATAGAGAGCTCGCGTGCTGCGCGACTGAGGGAACTTGAGAAAGATGCTGGCACATCTGACGATACGGAGAAGGAGGATGCGATTGAGAAAGTTGCGTCGAGAACACCTTCAACGCTGAGTTCGCATGGACGGTCGAATTCACCGTCGCCGGCGTCGAGTGTCCACGATGAGCACACGAGTGAGAGACGGGTTATCCGCTTTGAAGATGGAGACCCTGAGAATCCTAATAACTGGGGTCGCGTGAGTTGAACAATGGAGAAGTGAGCCCAGGAAGGACTAACAAGGATTCCAGTGGAAGAAAATCTACGCCCTCGTCGTTGCTATCATGAGTGGTAAGCCACCCTAATGCCCTCTAACAACGACCCAGCTAAACAACCAAAAGTCATGAACAGCACCATGACCTCCAGTCTAGCAGCCGGAGCCGCAGCCCCAATATCCCGTCATTTCAACCAAACCAATGAGTATGCGCTCATTCTGCCCACCTCAATGTACCTAGTCGGCTACGCATGCGGTCCCATGCTCTGGGGCCCTCTCTCAGAATCCTACGGCCGCAAAGGAACCATGGTAATCTCGTTTGCCTTTTTCACAATCTTCTCTATCGCTTCGGCCATCTCGCCGAACTTCGCTTCGCTCGTCATCTTCAGGTTGTTGGTGGGCGTGGGAGGGAGTTGCGCGATTAGTGTTGTCGGCGGGATATGTGCGGATATCTATCACAATCCTAAGTATCGGGGGAGGAGTATGGCGATTTTCATGGTATGTCGCTCCTATCCCCTTCCTCCTAATGGCCTCTAGCAGAAGGAAGGAAACCTAATCAGAGTATAACAGGCAGCAACAACATTCGGACCCATCCTCGGACCCCCAATATCAGGCTTCATCAGCGTAATATCCTGGAGCTGGGCCTTTTGGATCGGGGTCATACTTGCCGGAGCAACATGGCCGCTGTTCTACTTCTTCGACGAAACATACGGTCCCACGATCCTAAAGCGGCGAGCAAAGCGACTACGCAAGGAAACGGGTAATGAGAATATCATTGCGCCACTTGAATTGGAGAAGACGGATTTGAACCACATCGTCACCGTCATCCTGACTAGGCCACTACGAATGATCTGCTTCGAACCTCTCGTTCTATTCACATGTCTATATCTAAGCTACGCCTGTAAGCCAACCTTCCCCTACCATCCCTGCACAAACCCATCTCCTTACTAACCCCCACCCCCAAAGACGCCATATTCTACATATTCCTACAATCCTACCCCATAATCTTCACCGGCATCTACCACTTCAACGCCGGCGAAACAGGCCTAGCCTTCCTTCCCATCGGCGTCGGCGCCCTCATCTCCGCTGGCATCTACTTGTCGTGGGACTGGTATCTGGCCCGCGCCCAACGCCTCAATCGCCCTTGGTCGCGCAACGAAGAAATGCGAAGGCTGCCTCTCGCTTGCATCGCTGGCCCGTTTTTCGTTATCAGCGCGTTCTGGCTGGGCTGGACGAGTAGAGAGAGCATCCATTGGATTGTGCCCACGCTCGCGGGTATACTGTTTGGAATGGGGTATCTGTGTCTTTTCATGGCTTTACTCAACTATCTAGTCGACGCATACGAAGTCTTCGCTGCGAGTGCGATGGCGGCAGCAAGTTTATCGCGGTCTTCATTTGGGGCTGTGTTGCCTTTTGCTGCGAAGCCGATGTATAGGACTATGGGCGTGGCTTGGGCGACAAGCTTGCTGGGATTCTTCAGTCTAGCGCTGTGTGTTGTGCCGTTTGTGTTTGTGCGGTGGGGTGGGAGGATGAGAGATCGAAGTCAGTTCTGTCAGTATTTGAGGAGGAAGAAGAGGGAAGAGGAGGAGGAGGCGGAGAAGGAGAGGGAGGGGCTGAGGGAGAAGAGGGTTATGGTACAGCCCAATGAGTTCAAGGGGAAGGAGGATGTGTAGGGTATGATTAGTCCGTGCTGCATGTCTATGAAAAGCTCATCTCAAAGATCATCCAACATATACCCCCTCCTCTTCTCAGGCTGGGCCTTGATGACCCAGCTATGCAGCACAATCTCGTGCCATTGAACCCTCTCCGCATTCTGCATACGAAACACCGGCTCCCTCTCAACAACAAACTCTTTGCCTTTCCTAGGCCCGATGCGCGGAAGGAAGAAGCGAAACGAGACCCAGTACACAATACAGCATGTCAGCATTATCCACGATAACAAACCCGTCGCGTACCAGGGAAGCCCAGGAATGATGTCGTGAACATCAAGGTCTGAGTACTGGAACGGTGGTATCCAGACTGCGACTAAGGGGAAGCCGCCTGCAATTGCGTAAATCAGAGCAGCGGTAACGCTCAGCCAATTTGGAAGAGGCGATTTGAGAGACCACTTTGTAAAGGTACGGAGATACAACATGCCGACTGCCATGATGAAGGTTGGTATGATATCGATGAGGTACACGTATAGGTTTGCGAGAATCCTGTACGCGGATGATGGTTTCATGGGCCATGTTACCAGTATGAGAAACACGGCGCATACCCAGTGGAGGAAGAGCGCGCCTAGGGGTGTTGGCTCTGACTGGCTGGAATGGTGTTTCTCTCGGTATTTGCGAAAGAGAATGCGGTTTTCGCCGAAGAACTTGGCGAATGGTAGAACTCCTTCCTTGGCTATCTCTTGTTTCGCGCGGGCAAGCGTGAAGGTCATGCCGATGACATTGCCGAAGCTGTTGACGGTCGTGAAGATGGCGAGGATTGCAGACGCGTGTTTGTGGCCGATGACGTTGTTGAGAAAAGCTAGAGCTACATCGGTGGATGCAAGTTGTTGCTCTTTGCTGACTACAATCATCTGAGTGCGTCAGCGCAGATCTGGGAACTGACTATGTGGCTACCTACGTAGCTGACATTGACGAGCATGTATAAGATACAGATCATCCCGAGAGCAATGATGATGCCTTTGGGAAAGTTCTTGCGTGGTCTGTGGATCTCGCAGAGTATCTGAGTATGCATAAGTGGTGATTTGATAGGATGTCGGGACTAAGACTCACATAGTTTGCTTGATTATACCCGCCATAGGCATAAAAGACCGCTAGCATGCCTTGCGTATAGCTGTCGGCGTTTCCGTGCGTCCGCGCAAACGAAATCTTGTATCCCATATTGGCTGTTGCGTGATTCGTATGCGCGACACCGGCCAATACACATATCGCCATGATGGGGAACACACAAAGAATGGCGATCTTAACAACGACGATGACATTGTTAAGAATGATACCTCCACGTCGAGTGAACGCATGCAAGAAGCACGGAAGCGTTACTGTCATTATTGCGAGACATCGTGCCGCCGCATCCTTGCCTGCACCTCGATCAGTTCCTGGAGAGCCTATTATGTCGTCGCCGAAGGTCAATGCGTTGGCTGCGCTCGAAGCAATGATCACGTAGTTGACTGCGTAAAAGGAAAAGACGAAGAACTTGGGTCGCTTGATGAGGTAGTTCACCTGGTCGCGGTCAGCCGTGTATCAGTGGCAGGCTTGCAGTTCTACACTCACGTAGTTCATGTCTCCACCATTGCGTACGACCGGCACTCTTTCGCCATCAATTGAATGCCGAGGTGTAGTCAAGCCGAACTCGATGTACAATATAGAACCCGCGATGGCTGCAAGTCCGCCGAAAGCCCAAAAGCAAAGCGTGATCCCCGGACTCTCGGTGGCCTGCATAACGGTCCATGGTGTTCGGAATATGCCGGTACCGATGACTTGCTGGAGTATGAAGGCCACTACTGAGAAAAGACCTAGAGGGTTCGGCGTGCTTTTTGTAGCGACGACATCTTTGTCGTTCAAAGCCTCGAGGTATGCGCGGTCTTCTTCGTCTAAGCACAGGCTGCGGTCTCCCGATTGGACGCTACATGATTCGTCCATCGTTCGGTACTGAGCATCGATTTGGAGCTGGTGAAGCTCAGGAATCTGGTTGGATAAGTAGTACCTAGCTACAGTAGTGACTGCCCAGCAAGAAGCCGGTAATGGCATCTGAATGACTTATCCCTTAAGTTTCATACATTAGTTATCGCCCGGCAGAAGAGCTAGTTTTCGAAGCCCTTGCTCAGGATTTTACTCTTTCCGTCGATTTCTAGAGTCTTCGCACCGCGGAGCTGCGACTCCTTACTTAACGATACTTGCCATGAGAACAACAGCCACTAACACGAGGTCGCTTCGAAATTCGATAGACAGCCACTTTGCATAGGAGCAAGGCTAAATCCGAAAGTGAACAAAGCATCGCTTGCCACAGTTGAGTAAATGCAGGGGACGTGTGAGGAAGGGATGCGCGTGTGCAGGATAACGACAGACAGCTCCTGAGGTATCGTCGTTGGTCCCTAAGCCTGCATCTTCTCAAAGCATTGCAACTGTCGGTAACATGCCGTGGGATTTCGGTGTACTCAGCTTTATTTGCGGCGCCATCAAATTATCGTGGATCGTATACGAGAAGGGATTCACGGAGGAGAAGTCGCTGCGTTTGTCCTCCCAGCCACCCCACCCACGTTCCGCGCTAACCGTATTGTTTTAGCGCGACGGTATCTTGAGTTTGGCGACGCGTTGTTCCGGCTGCACTGGAGTCTCAACACCATCGAATCCATCGTCAGGACCGCGAACACCGGCTTAGAAAACGAAAGGCTCGAGAGCTATGGACCTGAACTATATGATACCACAGCGCTGATCGATATCGTGGGCAACTTCCGCTTGACGCTGGAACAGTGTCAGCAGTTGCTCAATGACGTCAGCAAATTTCGTACTGGCAAAGACGGCTTCATCACCAACATCATCTACAACCTGAATACGGATGCGCAGGTCAGAGATTTGACTGAGCGTTTGAAATATCACAGCGTCAAGATTGGTCTCGTTCTCGACGCGTTCAACATTCATGTCCAAACACAGCTGCGGGATCTCCACAATGAACAACACCAAGACCTGGCGGAGCGAATTCAGGAGCTGAAGCACCTACTTGTTGCTAGTCGCGATTCAAGCACCGACGCGTATCAGCCGGTGATCAAGCGAGATATAGAAGTCCCTGTCGAACTTGCCGAGCGCTTCACAGCGGAGTTACAGCAACGTTCTTTATTGTATACGTTTGACTGGGAGAAAACATCTGACGGACTGCAAGTATCAGTCAGAGAAGGCCTAGAAGCCTTTTGCAATCATTTCAATGGCGTTCGTCCGGATGGAGATGCGACATCATATCTTCGCCTTCTCAAAAGCATATGGCTAATGGACAAGATTAGGGAAGGACACGATTGGTCAAGTATCCAAAGCTCAAATCCAGGCGGTCTCTATGATAGGTGCATCCGGGAAATGGATCGACGACTTCGCATAGAGTGCGCTCGAATCGCTAGCAGTCCAATCGCGCGCCCCCGACTATCTACTATTATGCGGTCTCCCGAGGAAATGCTTGCTATCTGGCCAAGACCTATCTCCATCAACGATAACGTGCACGAAACGAATCTTGGGGTTCTTCTGGATATTTCGCTTGTCTCCGGTACGCAGACACATACCTTTCGCGTAGTGCGTAACATGGATGGGACGTTGGGAATGGAAGATACCACCACGACTATAACATCATGCACTGGCGGAAGTTCCAGGGACAGAGTAACACAAAGACTCAACCTTGACCCAAGGAAGGTTTTCCTGATCCCTGTGTATGCAATACCGAAAGTCTCAGGCTCGCAAGATGCCTCTTGTAGCTTAAAGCTGCAGAGCTCCCCTGATGACACAAATGGCCTGACTCCAGAGTTTCGCTCATGTACCGACTTGTTCAGATTGCAACACCTCATTACGGGCTACAGATGCGTACATCAAAGGTGGGTAGCCATTAGCCTACAAAACTTGTCGCGCAAGCAGCACTTCAACTATATGCCTGTATGAGACTGACAAATTTGAAGGAGAAACGCAAGAGTCACTTCTCTCATGAAGGGGCAGGGCTTCCCAACGAATGGTGGCGCATCCGAAGGTAGACCAAGCAAGACCACCGACGTATTGACTGAGATCGGAAACATACAGTTGTGGCAGAAAGCTTCTTTCGAAAAGAGATCCGCGTCCCAACACCAATACAGCAGGTCGTCAGAAGACCTGTTAAATTCTTCAGAAACTGTATCGGGTGCATGGGGTCCTGAGCCACTCAGCGAACGGACTTTCACCTCGACGTCGAGCATCATGAGCAACATCTCCAGCGCTCATTCACAGGAAATATCCCTGGGCTCTGCAGTCAGGGCAGTACAATTGACACAACCAGAGCCACCGTTACTTGTGGTATTTCTCAAACAGCCAGATACAGGACAGTTATCCTTCCTAGCCATTGAGCTCGATGAGCGCACGAAGATCGAGCCAAAAAGCTGCGACTGTCGAAGCACCAAAGCCAGCTGTACAGTCAGTGTGCTAGAGCGATCTGGTACACCACTGCTAGCACGTCGTTTCTATGCGAAGAAGGGGCTCAACAGCTGGAATCTGGCGGCTGTCGGTGCACATTGGTCGTCATCTGACACGGGTGCGGTATGTGTGCGCGACATGTACTGGCTCCGGTTCGAGTTCTCGAACGACGCTGAGCGCAAGAAGTTTCATCAGAATGTCACTGATCTCGTTCGTATCTTCTCTGCAAGGATGAACGACTACCAGAGAGACTTAAGATCTGTCCGAGGAGCTCACATCATCTCACGACCAGGCTGAGAATGGTCGGCATTGCTCACTTCCTTCATCTATCGTATTTGTCAATTTTTAGTCTAATGTTAATAACGTTCCTTCTTCTCAATATCATGTAGTAGCAGTCTGTGGTGATGTTCGCTCACTTCCGATGATCTTGCTCAGCCCTCGTACTAGTTTGGGCCAAGAAAGCTTTTATAAGAGATCATGTTGCTAGATTATGTCTACGCTGAACCTACAAGTATATGCAACATACAAGAGAGACACACGAAGTTGAC